ATTCTGCCTGCCCACTTCTAAAAATGCATTACCCACACCCACTCCCCACAATATTGGGTAAAATTTTTCTCCCTCCCTCTGATTAAATTAAGTTTTGCCTGCCCACAGAAAAACGTTCGCGAACACCTTTTTGCACGAACAGCTTCGTTGACTGCACCTGAGTCATGTTCTAGGGACTTTTGTATAGTCTTTTGAGCTTTTATACAGATCATATGACAGTTTTGAAAAATACGGTTCTGACTAAATATTCCGACCAAGATTAGTGACAAGATAAACCCACCATGAAAAAGAATTTGGCAATGCTCAGTCCTCGCTGTGTACTCAACGGTGAAGACCATAAAGCATATAATTGTTTGTTATAAAGGAAGAGTAAAGAGTGTAGTTTTGGTTTGTGACGTAGAATATAACAGCGTGTGAAGAGAGTGTAAACCTATATCTCATGTTATTCACTATAATACATGCATGTGACCATGAATGACATCACGTTTATAGCAAGAAAACAAATGTTAACATCATAGCACACATTATTAGTATAAAATTTACTATTCATAAATATTGTGACTCATAAAATGACGAAAGCACATACTTTGTGTTTTATATCAAAATTATATACATATGAGTATAATTTAGCTCCTAGTCCTGTGCACATTTTTTTACGTTGCATTTTTATAAGCTTGAAGAATTGCGCATGTATGCATAAAGGATATGATGCTGCAGTACTTGAGCGTTGAGTGGAAACCCCGGAAAACACTAAACCAGTTGAAAAACACTAAACCTATTGAAAAAGACTAAACCTGTTGAAAAAGACTAAACCTGTTGAAAAAACACTAAACCCTTCGTAAAGGGCGAATTATGGATATACCATGATCGTTCAGTTGAGTATTTATGAAAAGAAAGCTAAAGAAAAATCCCTTTATGATCGAGGCCAGGGCCGCAGCAGGACGCCCTCTATGTTAGATACTAGTATATCGCGCCCCAAACCAAACATTTTATTTTATTTATTTACGTTGAGTGGAAACCCCGGAAAACACTAAACCAGTTGAAAAACACTAAACCTAT